ATGCTGACTAAATTTTGTCGAGAAAGGTCTTATTTTGAAAAAATAAATATAAACTTGGGATGTTTAGGTTAATTAATTTTAAAAAAATTTATTTTTAGTAACCACATAATATATTTGCCTGATTTAATTAGTTAAATTACCAATTATATTTTAATTATTATTTATTTAATGACTAATTATGATTAAATACTTTAATTAACTTCATGAATTATATTACTTAATAAATAGTAATTCAATTGTTCTTTTTTCTTTTTTTCCTTCAATATTCACTAAGTAAGTAATCACTAAAGGGTTTAGTTAATTACTAATCGAAGTAATTAAAAAAGTGAAATACATATTATGCTACTTAAAGGGTGTAGCCTACCTTTTCATAAAAATAAGAAGAAAAAAATTAAAAACTACGTATAGCCGTGCGGCTGTACTAGAGTCTAGCCGTCCGGCTGTACCCTTTTTTGTTTTTGTTTTTTTAAAAGGACCTTCCAGCGAATAGGAGCCACATGTCCCAAACCAGTATAGCCGTTCGGCGGTACTGTTTTTCAAAAAGAAAAGCATAGTACAGCCGCACGGCTATACTATTTAAATACACTATATTTAAAAGGGCTACACTATTTAATAAATAAATAAAAGAAAAAAGGACCCTCCAAGTTGCATTAGTTTCTACTTTGTAGATATTAAGTTGCTAGTTTAAATATATCCAAAGTAGATATTAATCGGCCACTATATAATATTTTAATATAATTTTTGTAACGTATATTATTCTTATTCAATAATATGTGAGAATTATTTGTATAATACGTGAACTTTTTGTGTCTTAATGAAAATTTTGTAAAAAGTATGTGTATTAAGCATTAGAAATACATACGAACATGTACAATACGACTATTAAAGTAATTCAAAGAGGATAAGATATTACTTAATTACATATATTAAATTAAGGAAGTTGGCCAAAAGAAAAAGTAAATAAACTAATTTTATATTTTAAAATTAAACATTCATAAAAAATAAAAAAAATGAACACTTCTCCCAATGAAATGTCGTCGGCATAGATCTATGCCGGCAAAATTTGCCGGATTAGGT